TTATTGTTGACATGTGTTGTGAACCAGGGCCAACCTGTCCTGTTTGTTGTCTGTGTGTTTATTTTGTTTGCCTTCTTGGTAGGTGTGTAAGGCCGACGAGAAATTCAATCAGCTGGTGCATTTTCTTCGCAATCACAAGCAGCAGAAACATCTTGTCTTCTTCAGGTAATATTCTTGGCTCTGTGTGGGTGGTGGATTCAGGCCCCTTCTCCACCGGAAATGCAGGTGCCCATGGCACTCGGGGTTGGGATTTGTCAGGAAGGTTCTCTTGGAGTACTGGAGGTGGCAAGGAGCTGGACCCCAGGCGCTGGGACTCCAGTGGGAGGGCTTCATTATTCTGTAGGAAAACAAGCAGAGGTGGGCAGTTTCAGACGCTGGCCTGAGCCCTCAGCAAGGTCAAGGCTGATGTTTCTGGCACTTTGCCCCCTCTGTCACCTCCATGTCACCCTATCGTGTCTGCACTGATGGCTGGGGCAGGGGCAGTGTCAGCCACGTCTGTTCTCAGTGAAGCCAGGGGCGCTCTCGGATGCTCGATCCAGAGGAGGGGGTATAGGGCATGCCGCACTCGGAGGTGGCCGGGCAGCCTCTCAGGAAGCTGGGAGCTGGGGGCTGGGTGCAGAACCCCACTGCAGGGCTGCTCCGCTGTGGATGCCTGGGCTGTCCTGCCCGGGAGATGCCCCTGCTTGGTCATCTTGGCTGTGGGATTACATCCTGTGGTTTTAATGCCAGTTAGAGGGATTTTGCCGAAAAATGGGCCTCCTTTTGGCAGCGAGGCTCAGAGTGGAACCTCGCAGCAGCTTCGCTTAGAGCCATCCTTTCTGCTCTCCGGAAGAGGCTGCGGATTCATTTGTCCTGTGCTGGGGGTGGGTGCAGAACAACCGGATGGCCAGCTTCCCTCAGCCTCTGTCTCCTCCTGTAGCACCTGTGCCTGCGTGGAGTACTACGGGCAGGCCCTGGAGGCCCTGGTCAGGGGGGTGCAGGTCCTGTGCATTCACGGCAAGATGAAGCACAAACGCAACAAGATCTTCCTCGAGTTCCGCAGCTTGCCCAGGTGGGTCGGCCTCGTGGCCCTGCTCCATACGGGCTGCGTCCTGGCGCCCACCGCTCTGGCTCAGCTCTGCCTGCTCTGCCGGGGACACCCTGGAGTTGCTGTCCTCCACAGAGCCCGGACCGCGCGGGACAAGGAGCAGGAGCAGTCACCAGGAGGCCACCCCACAGCCTCCCGGGTCAGCCTGGGGTCTCCAGCATCTTCACTGGCTTCTGTTTGTGGCCCCGAGTCATTTTCTGGTGTCTTCATCACAATGTAGGCCAGCTGTGTTGCCAGTCGTCCTCAGGGCAGAGGGACCCCTCCCACTGCACCTGTCCCCTGCGTGACATAATAGTTTTCTGAAGCAGAGGATTAGCTTGCCTGGTTTTGTTCTTCATGCGGGAACATCTTCATAGAAGAAACCTTTCTCTGACCTTCCCACAGTTTTCACTGGGAATAAGCAAAGGAATGGGGGTTCGTAGGAAGGAAAAATCAAAATGTTATCACCCAGAGTGTGTGCTCTTGGGGGCCCCATCCCCAGAATCCATGTGTTCTATGCGGGAGGCAGTGGATGGCAGTGCGGGGGACACGCAGCACGCACTGTGCTTGTTCCCTTGCAGCGGGATCCTGGTGTGCACGGACGTGATGGCCCGCGGCATAGACATTCCCGAGGTGAACTGGGTTCTGCAGTACGACCCACCGAGCAGCGCAAGGTACCTCCTGGTGGGCAGTCATCCCTGCCCTGGCGTCCCGAGGGCCACAGGCCTGCTCTGAGGTTGCGCACAGCAGTTACATGGCACAGAGAGGCTCCTGGGCCCATCAGTGTAGCAGCTCAGTGGTGTATGTTCCTACACGTACATGGTGGAACATTGAATGCACAAATGCACCCCAGAATATGCTTGCACAGAAAGGCAGCAGTTACTTCTGTGATTACAGATTTCTTTATTGTTGTTTTCCCATTGGGAAACAGCTGTATGACCCAACAAAGAACTCTTAGAGTTGACACGTGGTCTTGGTTGTCTGTGTGGGGGGATCTACTGAGTGGCTGGCCCCACTGTCTGGCCCTGCTCAGCCTCTGGGGCAGCCGTGAGCTCTGGGGCTGGGGGCTTTGCACACGTGGGCAGAGCTCTGCTCACTGTCCTTGGGGCACCTGCTCCCCCCACCCCCAGCGCATTCGTGCACCGCTGTGGACGCACAGCTCGCATCGGCCACGGAGGCAGCGCCCTTGTGTTCCTCCTGCCCATGGAAGAGTCCTACGTCAACTTCCTGGCAATCAACCAAAAAGTAAGTTTCCTGCCTTTACATTTTTTGAGATCTGTATTTGTTCATTGTATGTATTTGAAAGGTAGACACACATCTCATCCGCTGGCTCACCTCTGCCCTGCCCCCCAGAGGTGTGTAACAGCTGGGTATGACCTGGGCCAAAGCCAGGAGTTAGGAATTCAGCCCAGATGACAGGGACCATGACAGGGACCAGAACGAGGGCTGTCACCTGCTACTTGTGAAAGTGTGCTGGGTGTGGAAGCTGGAGTCGGGACAGGGTCAGGACTCCACCCCAGGCCACAGGCGATGTGGGTGTCCAGCCTGCCCCCAGTGCCCACCCAGCTGTCTTGTTATTCAGGATGTCCAGTGAGGGGCTGCAGTGCTCACGGGCTGGGCAGCACAGGTTGGGAGCCCCCACGGGCTTTAAGTGTGGCGAGGCTCTGGCCTTCTGGTCTGGGCCAGGGCTGCAGCCTCTGCGTGCCGACCCAGGGCTGCTGTGGCAGGATGATCGCAGGAAGCCTGTGTCTCAGGTCTCCTTTCAAATAGCCTTTGCACCCAGGGTTGCTCTGGGCTGGGAGTGGGGTGTCGCCTGTGCGATGGGCTGTGAGGGTGCCCCCGGGTGGCTGAGCATGTGGTCCCTGTGCAGTGCCCCCTGCAGGAGACGAAACTCCAGAAGAACACAGCGGACCTCCTGCCCAAGCTGAGGGCCATGGCCCTGGCCGACAGGGCCGTGTTTGAAAAGGGCATGAAAGCGTTCGTGTCCTACGTCCAGGCTTACGCGAAGCACGAGTGTAGCCTCATCTTCAGGTTGAAGGGTAAGCCGGGTCCTTCCTGCATGTACTGTCTCAGTTGCCTGCTGGCTTCATCTTACAATGGCACTGGGCATTCAGGGGCCCCCTGCTACCCAAGAGTGTCAGGTGCCTCGCAGCCCAGCCATGGTGGGCTGACGGGTCCCTGCTCCCTCAGACCTGGACTTTGCCAGCTTGGCTCGAGGCTTTGCCCTGCTCAAGATGCCGCGGATGCCAGAACTGCGGGGGAAGCAGTTCCCAGACTTTGAGCCTGTGGATGTGGACACAGACACCATCCCGTTTAAAGACAAAATCAGAGAAAAGCAGAGGCAGAAGCGGCTGGAACAGCGAAAAGAGAAACCTGAAAGTGAAGGGAGGAGAAAGTTCATGAAGAACAAAGCTTGGTCAAAGCAGAAGGCCAAAAGGGAGAAGAAGAAGAAGATGAGTGAGAAAAGGAAAAGGCAGGAGGTAACGTCTGCCGCTTTAATCTCGCTTGTCTCCCACTGCCCAGAACTCGGCCCGAGTCCTGCTCGCTGTGGCTGCAGCGACCAGCTTCCGGTGCGTGCGGCTGCCAGACTGGTGGGCTTATGGCTTTTTCTACACTTAGGGCTCCGACATCGAAGAGGAGGACATGGAGGAACTTCTGAATGACACGAGGCTCTTGAAGAAGTTAAAGAAGGGCAAAATTACTGAAGAAGAGTTTGAGAAGGGGTTGTTGACAAGTGGCAAGAGGAGGAGTGTGGCGGCGGACTCGGGGAGCTCCGCCTCGGAGGACGCCTCCTGACACCTGCGTGCCAGTGACACCCGAGCGCCCAGCCAGCAGCTGCCGGCCTTCTGTGGCCTGGGTGCCCTTCAGAGCCAGCTTAGGGGCGGGACTGCACGGCCCTGAAGGCAGGTGTGATGGACGAGGGACAGCTTGTACTGTCATTAGTGTTGGCTGGAGGCCATTTCCCCAGAGATCACTTTATACTTGTGCATGGACACTCTCCTTTCACAGGTCCTTGTTGGGCTCCGACCACAGGGCTGTCCAGCCCTACACCTCCCACCCTCACGTGCACATGTGTGCTGGGCCAGTGTGCTGGGACTTTTCTTTTTATATTGTGGGAAAGAGCACTTTAATTTTTATGCCTTCTACTAAATAAATGATCTTCCTAATGGACATTTCTGTTTTTTAGAGGGAGAGAGGTGCAGTGTTCCTATGTGCAGTAGTCAGGACTGGGCCAGGCCAGAGCCAGGAGCCGAGGCACACTGTGCTGGTCTGCATGGGGGTGGCAGGATGCAGTCCCCAAGCTGCCACCTTAGCAGGGGAACCCAGGGGTGCTGGCTTAGGAGTGTGGTGTGTAAGCAGCAGGCCAGAGACCCCTCCCGACCATGACATGTGGATGGGCTGCAACGTCTGCTGTGGGGTTCTGGGTCCTAGGGCTGGCTCATGTCTCATATATGCAACGTCACAGCAGAATCTTGTACCAAATTTATCAACAGATCCTGAATTTGTTCCCATTGAATTATTTTAAAACTATTTAAAGGATGTTACCACTTCATACGGATGCCGTGTTTGTTTGGGTTCCCGAGTGCTGCCGAAGGCTCTGCCTGGCGTGCTGGGCCTTGAGGCCATGAGGCAGTGCTGCCGTCTCAGCTTTTCCCCGCAGGTTCCCCCACTGGACGAGGAAGGTCGCCCTCCGTGCATGCTGCCTGCCTTCCCCTGCGGCACTGTGTGTGCGTCATGGCTGGCAGTGGTCACTTCATGCAGAGGCCTGGCTGTCCCTAGAACACCTGCTTTCCGACCTGGCTGTTTCTGCTTGCTTCTGGCCAGCTGCCCTGCTCACCGCGCGCCTTCGATGACTTTCTGGAGGCCGTGAGCACAGTTGGGTTCAGAGCTGTAAACGCATCTCAGGTGAGGTGAGCAAAAAAGACTATCCAGATTTAACTTTAAAGTTTTAGTACACACATCTTCATTAAGAAACAATTCCGTTTCAGCTGGCTCACGCAGGTCCAGGGCCGCCATGGCCACGCAGTGTTGGCAGGATGGAGGTCAGAGGTACAGCTTGATGAGCTCGTCGCTGACAGCTGATGGCGTCAGCACGCCCAGGTCCGTGAACAGCAGTGTGATGAGGGCAGGCGGCGTGTAGTCCACCCATGGGTGCTCCTCTCGGAGGTCACGTCCCGTCTCCATGGACTTGAGCAGCGTGTCGGCCTTATACTGAGGATGTAAGAGCATGCATTAGCCCACCTGGCCAGGAGGGGGCGTCACGGAAATCCTCAGCTATGGGACTGCCCCTGACCCCTCTGGCTCTGTGCTTATGCACTACAGGGTCATCCCAGCAGGTGGTACTGTCCCTTCAGGTAGGAAGCCAGGGGTCATGTGGTTTGTAACTGGGGGAGACGGGGGCTGAGCTGACTGCAAAGCTGGGGCTTCCCAGCTGTCAGCTTCCTTGGCTCCCAGCCACCCTGCTGGCTACACAGCCAGGGACACACAGGGGCGCAGCAGTGGGAGGGGAAGGCCAGGAGGAGCCGGGAGTGGATGAAGACTGGAGCCTTTCAAAGGCGGACTTCTTGCCTTAAACTGGTCCGGGACGTCCTGCTGGTTGAGGGGAAAGAGCCGCACAAACTTGAAACTTTCTGCAACCACATAACATGGCTTGTTCTGTGACTTGGCGCACACAGCCATCTGATTGGTTCCAATCTGGGAAGACAGAACTGGGCAGTGAGCTCCTACAGCATGTACAGAGGTGGGGCCAGCAGAGAGTGGGCAGATGGACACAAATCTATGACTCCCATGCACCTTGAGATGTCCAGTATCCCTAGTCCTGAGGGAGATGGAAAGCCAAACTGCAGGACCCCGGGGCGAGGGGGCAGTGCCCACAGCAGGCAGGACACCACGTCACAGCTCCCGAGGCTCGGCGCTGAGGGGGCAGTGCCCACAACAGGTAGGACACAGGCAGTATGTGGAGTTCACCCTAGCCAAGTGCTGCTCATCACACGGTGCCCTCTAAGTGGGTGGGATTTCTGGGTATCTGCTAAAGAGCAGAAGGTGGACTTTCCGGATGATGGGAAGTTAAGTCGATCAGCAGTAAAGGGCAATGATGACTTCCACAGGCCACATGGATGGACCTCAGCACCCTCAAAGGACACTGCCACAGGATGAGCAGATGAGATGGGGCAGTGCTAGGGTCAGGCTACAAGGATAGGTGGGAGGTCGAGCTGAGGTGCCTGGGGCCTTGGGGCAGAGTCAAAGGGCTGTGAAGAACGGAAAAGGTCAGGACAGGGATGGTGGCAGCAACACTGGAAGTAGGTCACACCCTGAACCATGTACTCAGCACCGGCTGAAATGACAAAGTTCGAAATGTCTTGCCGTAAGTGAAACCCAAGTCCGTGGCTTTTCAAGTTAGGCAGCGAGTCACACTGATCAGACAGCCCGATCAACATGACGGTGCAACTCGCTCTGTGCAAATGCACACTGCAGACAGAATTTACGTAGTTCAATCTCTGAACAAAATTAAACCAGAACTGGAAGGCAGTGCAGTGCCTCATGGGAACCCCTGGGGACACCCTGGAGCAGCAGGCCTGGGGGCAGGGCACTGCAGCCACGGGCAGCGGGGGCGGGGCAGGACACCCACCTTGTTGATGATCCCTCCGTTTTCAACCACTCCTTCAGCACCAACGATGACAAGATCCACCTTCTCCATGATATAGCTAAGGACACGGGGACAACAACCGCTTTTCTACGCTGCCTCCCCTTCACCCTCTGCAGAGACCACACTACTCTGGGGGTACGTGCCTGCCAGGCCTGCCAGCCGGGGCTCCCGGGGGCCTTGGCAGGAGTGTGGCTGAAACGGGCCTGGCCTTCCTGTGCACTCGAGTTGGCCCCCTTTAGTGCAGGAAAGCCAGTGTGTGTCGGTCAGTCACTGTCCCATCCCGATTCCCTTCATCCCCATCTCGGGCATGTCTCCCAGGAGACAGTCACTTCTGTCCTCTGAGCCCTAGCAGCCCAGGGGCTGTGTAACCGCAGTCTTCAGGAGAAGCCTAGCTCTGTGTCCCACCCCGTTGGGACAGCCCCGCTGCAGGGAGGTGGCCCCAGCACTCGCAGGACATGACAGTCTGGCCTTGCCCCAGGATGGCTGTGCCTGGCATGGAGCAGCAATGATGATCTTGGCTGCCACCTGGCTGGCCTGTGCACCTGGCTCTTCCAATGCCCTTCCTTCTTCCCGGTACCCGGGCTTGATCCCTGAGCCCCGTAGCCCCAGCCTCCACCCACACTGTAGAGAGCTTGTAACGAGCTTGCTAGTACCCGGGCTTGATCCCTGAGCCCCGTAGCCCCAGCCTCCACCCACACTGTAGAGAGCTTGTAACGAGCTTGCTGGGTAGGACAGCTGTTAATTAAGAGATGAGACACTGCCCAGTGCGGTTTTATGGGCAATTCAGATCTTCGCAATGCCCTGCCCGGGATGGGCAAGGACAGAAATCCACAGAAGAGGGGCAGGTGCTTACCCAACAGCAGCGTCCAGCACCACGGTGACAGGGACGTTGAGGTGGCACAGGGCTTTGGCCATTTTCTTACTGAAGGTGACATTTTGAGAACGTTAGACAAAGTCTGAGAAAGGCATAGAGTGACGTGTCATGAATCACATAATTTGCACAGTGGTAAATCATGTCAGTTGAAAATTATATAGATTACGGGGCAGATTCCAAGACTTTGCTTGAAGGAAACAAGAATTGGGGTTCTTGGAGGGCAGTGAGGCAGTGTGCGGACGCCTCTGCAGCAGAAGGAGCTGTCGTAATCCCCTCCTTCATTTCGCGTGGTAACAATAAAGGCCGTTCATATTTGCAAAAAAAAAAAAAAAAAGAATTGGGGTTCTTTTATCATTAAAAACAAACAAACTCATTTGTTTGAAAGGAAGATGGACAGAGAGAAAACTATTAGAAGACTGGAAGTCTTCCATCTACTGCTTCACTCCCTAAATGCCTCCCTGGGGCTGGGTCAGGCTGTCGTCAGGAGCCAGGAAGTCCGTCCGGGCCTCCATGTGGGTCTCTCCTGGCACACGGGCAGGGAGCTGGACTGGAAGCAGACAGGACATGAGCCAGTGCTCCGACATAGGATGCGACCCAGGCGATGGTTTAGCCTGAACACTGGTCAGGGACTGGTAAGAGATGGAAATGTCAATTTACTATTCTTTGGTGAAAACTTGTCATCAGAGCAATCTCCCGGGGTTAAGCTGCCACCTGGGGTGCTGGTACCACAGAACTAGTGCGGCTCAATCCAGATCCCTGCCAATGGGAAGAAAAGCAGTAGCAGATGGCCCAAGCGCTTACAGCCCTGCCGCCCCCTTGGGACCCCAGAGGAACTGCAGCTCTTGGTTTTGGCCTGGCCCCGCCCTGACTGATACGGTTGTTTGGAAAAAGGACCAGTGGAGAGAAGATCTCTGTCCCTCCTCTCTCCGTAATTCTTGACTTTCACAACACAAACCATCCTGCCCTGTCCTCTGGTCCTGCAGATTCACAGTGAATTTTCCTACAGGGCAGGAAGGGTCACAGTGTGGCAAGGCTGGCAGACACACGAGGCCTGCTCTGCTCTGATAGCTGCTGGGCAGACCCAGCGGGAGGATACTTGCCCCGATAGGTCCGGCTGTGACTCTGTGATGTAGACACTGAAGCGCTTCTTGGCTGCCACGGCTGCCTCCAGGACCCGCAGCACCACCCTGGAGTAGGCATGGGTCAGGATTCGCTGCGGATTGAGGAAGCGTCATCAGAAGTGCTGCCTGGGCTGTCCCTCACCTGCACTGTGCCCTGTGCTCCTGGAACCCCAGGCTTCCTCAGAGCCACGGAGTACACCGAGTCTTGTAGTGTGGTTGGAGGACTATAGCGTGGGTTCCCCTTTCCGTAGCAGCTGCACGTGGAAGCCCCATTCTGAGTCCCTTGCCAGCCCGAGGCCTGTATATCTGAAGGCTCTTGTGAGGCTCCTCTGGGATCCCATTTTGGGATGTGAAGGATGCACTTGGACCGCCAACTGGGGGTCGCCATCCAAGTAGAGGGCCTTCTCCGCTGGAGGAGGGACAGCATTCAGGTTGATGGCCACGTGCAGGGAGGCTGGTCTGACTTGCCCGTCCTGTCTTTCCTTCTCCAACTCGTAAACTCTGAACAGCCCCACGTCTCTGTGACGCATCAGAAGTGATGTTAAGGTCGAGTCTCCATGCAGTGCACACACTCTGTACTCAGCATTAAAGAGGGACAGCTTCTTTCCTCTGCCTGCTCTGAGAACAACATCTATGAGGACAAGCGTGCACATTTACCAAGCACTGACTGTGTGCTGGGTACTGACGGTGTGCTGGGTGCACTGCTGAGCTTCTGCCCAATCACGTCATCCAACGGTGTGTGGGGTCAGGAGTCTCATAACACTCATGGGACACAGCCCAAGCAGCAGGACGCAGGAGCTGAGGGACTGCTCTGGGGCTGCCAGACACGAGCGGCAAAGCCAGGACTCTGGCCGCAGCAGCCGGCCTCCCAGCCCTGCTACTGCTGCCCGCGGTGGGCATCTACTCACCGCCCCGTCCTTGATGAAGGTGTGGCACAGCTCTGCGATCTTGCTCCGCGACAGTGATATTCTCCTGAGGAAGAGCTCCCCCCGCTCAATCATGATCTTCTTACACTTGGAGTAATCCTGGGAGGAGACACACACGTGAGCGGGGAGAGACCTGGGCAGGGCTGGGTCAGCTGCGGCCACACGGGCAGGCCCGGCTTACAGAGTACTCCAGGGAGGTGAGGCTGATGAAGCGAAGGAAGAGCTCCCCGCCGGAGGACACGGCCACCGACGAGTCCACGCCACACAGGGTCTCTATGGCGCTCGTGAGGTTGGCCCTCAGACCCTGGATCGTCTCCCCTGCACAGGAGCAAAGAGCCACCTGAGTGCCCAGCCTGCCCTGGGCCGTCTGCCTGCTCGGTTGTTCGCTGAGGAGTTGCTGTGGAGCTAGGCATGTGCCCCTGCACAGAGGCAGGCTGGCAAAGAGGTCACTGAGTCCATTGCAAGCTTTCAGGGACAGACGAGAGCCCAGGGATGGCTGTGCCTACGGACACCTGAAGACCACAGGGCTACGAACCAGAGAATTTCCAGGCACAGTGACGGGGCTGAAGGCCAGCACAGGAGGCCAATGAGGGGGAGGAGCACTGGAGGCTGTCTTAGAGACCCATGTCTCAGGCCACCCCCACAGGCTAACACTGCAGGAGTGGACAAGCAGGACAGCGCAGTGAGCGGGGTTTCTGCAGACAGGAACACAAACCAAAGCTGAGCAGACGCTCGCAAGGATGGGAACTGCTGCTGCAAACGGCCACTCAGGAGGCCGGGGGACAAGCACACACGGAGGGCTCCTATCGGCCAGCCCTCCCCCAGGCACCCACAGCCATCAGGGGAGGGGTCAGGCTGAGGCCGGGTGCTGGGAGCTGTGCCCACGCCTCTGCGCCCAAGCCAGCCCTGGCTCCTGATGAGCGAGGCCTAGGCAGGCACTGCGACATAGCTTTCATAAGCACGGTCTTCATGGCAGGGCCAAACTCTGCTCCTGCTGTCGTCCAAATGGTCCTGGTGCTTGGAGGCCCATTTGTGGGAGGGGATCTATCTGGGGCCTCTGCAGGCTCACGGGCCACTGATGCAGGCGGGGCTGCATCCCCCGCTGCACCCCCACCCGCAGCTGCCCCCGGACCTCTGTCTCTCTTGAGGAACTCCAGCAAGGTGCGGATGGCCGCCACGGCTGAGGCCACGTCGGGGTCCTCCTTCATCTGAGACTTGAAGTATTCAATTAGCTCTGGGGAGGGAGGAAAAGGGAGTGGCATTTAGTGAACGCCTGCTGGCCCTAGCCGGGCATCTGGTCCGGACGCCCCAGGGGCCATGGGTCCCCAGACTCCTTTCTTATTCTGGAAAAGTGACACCCCTAAATGTCACTGAAAAGTCACTTTCCTCCTCGAACCCTGCTCCACGTTCTAAGAGGATCGCAGGGTCAGACACCCAGCCCACGCGCCCCTCGAAATCCACACGGAGCCTGTACAGCCAGGCCCGGCAGCACACGAGTTCGCGCGTGTCTTCCACCCAAACACCCGGTGCTCGCTCCGGCTTCTGCCCTCGGTCTCAGATCCCGCCCGGGGTTAGGGGGCGCGGGGCTGTGGCGCCCGCGGGTCTCGGGGTCTACGCGCCGCATCCCGGGGCCGTGGCCAGTCCTGCCGCGCCCACACCTACCCTGGTCGTCCATGGTGCCCTCCGGACGCGGGAGTCCGCGGAGCCCGGCGCCCCACGTGCCAGCTCGAGCCGGTCCAGAGCCCTGACAGCGCGCGGCGCACACCCGCACCCCACTTCCGGCGTCCTGGAGGCAGTACCGGCTACGGCGTGCGACCCGGGCCAAACCGGTCAGGGCGTCACTCGGCGGCGCCGGAAGTGGCCTTCGCTCAGCTTCACAGCCACCTGTCGCGCGCTGAGGTGCCGGGTAACCATGGTGTCGGATGGTGAGGACCTCCCAGGGCTGGTATCCCGGTTCTGAGGGGAGACCCAGTCAGATGGATGTCCCTGTGGAACTGGGATCTGCGGGGACCTGAGAGGGGGAGGTCGGAGGATGTGGACAGCCTGGTGGCTGAGCCGAGCGGTTGGCAAGGAAATGCACAGGCTGTTGGAGGGTGACGGGAGCTCTCAGGCGAGCAGCTTGAGGAGTCCGTCACCGGGACGGACCGGGACGGACCGGGCCGCGGGTGGGGGAAGAGGAGCGTGGGCCCGGGAGGTTTCTGCAGTCTGTGTAGTCACGTGAGCCCGGGAGGCTGTACATAGTGGAGGGTGTGAAGGTCTGCTTTGCAGCTCGGTGCCGTTGGCAGGTCCGTGGGAAATGGAGAGTGCGGGGAATAACCTTGGATTCTGGGCTCAAGCCGCCGAGCTTGGTCCCTGAATCACTTTTAATCTTTCCATAGCTTTGTGAGGGATGCAGTTCCTCAAATGAGACCCAAAGGAGCACACCCGTGGTACTGTGGTGTGTGCACAGCTGCCCCTGAGTGGCAGAATCCACGAGCTGCAGTGTATACTGCCGCCGTCCTGCTGGGTGACACTGTCTTCCCTGTGGGGACAGGGAGTGGGAATTGTTGTGGGGCCTGAAGAACAGGACCAGAGGCGCGCTGGTTGTGTGGGAGCCCAGGCCTGTGGCAGACACCACATGCTGCTTTCCTGCTGGGTACTGTGTCCTGTGACCACCATGTACCATTTCTTCCTATGATGGGCAGCACTGGGATGAAAAATCAGAAACCCCGAGACTAACTGTAAGAGGAGGAGCATGTGGTCAGTGTGTGGGGGTGCTGTGAGTGCTGTGGCGGCCAGGGTGGGCGGTGGAGCAGCCCGGAGCTGTGGTTTGTGGAATCCAGCCCCTCGCTGGCAGGCTGGGTGGCTTAGCGCAGTAGGAAGCCCCGCTTGGTCCAACCTAAGGCAGCATTGGTTATGTGGCGTTCTTAGCCCCGACTCCAAAAGCACACTGCCTGTCCTTGTGGCGAGGTGTGACCTGTGTCGCAGTGTTCGTGTCCCCAGCTGGGTGTGGGATTGTGGATGCTGGAACTGGGTGTTGGGGGAGTCCTGCTTTCCTGCTGGAAGGGAGAGCTGGTCTGCAAGTGCACAGGTCGCAGATGAGGTGTGGGAGCTGCCCCGAGGTGGGGGACAGGCCTGCGGGAAGGAAGCTGGGGAGGAGGGGGGCGTTCGCCACCTGTGCTCTGACTGTCCTGGGGTTGTCATCTGTCGCATCTGGGAGCTCCCCGCAGGTCTGCGGCACCCCACGCTCAGACCTAATGCTTGCTGCCCTCAGGAGGCCTGTGTGGTCGTGTCAGCCCTCCCGGAGAGTAGCTGAATTGGTTTCATAACAAGATCCTTGCCTTGGCAGTGCTTTTTTTGCTTTTTGGCTTTTGCCTTCTGAAACCTGGCTGCTTGTCTCAGTCCTCTTGCCGCCGGGTGGGAGGGTGAGCTCGCGTCTCCCTTCACTCCTTGTTCCCGCAGCCCTGGCTGCGGCAGGCGCCTTTGGGTCCTCAGTGGATGGATCTGTAACCAGCATCTCTGTGTGCTAGGCAGGGTGGTTGGGCCTTCCTGAGCTCGCGGGTCACTGTGGCCCGCCGTGGTGTGGGGTTAGACGGGCGTATGGTAAGGCCTGCTCAGCTGCCCGTCTTCCGAGGTTTGGGCTGTCTGTAAGTTCATGGTGTGGGTGGCAAGCATTTAAAGGTGCTTAGTGATGCCGACTCTGGATTTGATTTATGATTTTGTAATGTTAGGTTTGATGCGTTTTTCTTGTTTTAAATGTTCTCTCTTGTGTGTGTTTTCAGAAGATGAAGTAAATCTCTTGGTTATCATCGTTGATACCAACCCGATATGGTGGGGGAAGCAAGCATTGAAGGAGTCCCAGGTAAGACTGCCTGAGGGCCTTTGCACAGTCCTGGTCTGATCTGTCTGATTCATTGAGGTTTTAGCAACAGCTACGGAGGATGGGGCTGGGGGAGGAGGGAGGCACAGTCTTGTGGCACAGTGAGCTAAGCTGCTGCCTTATACTATGAGATATAAAATGTAAGCTAATATTGGCACCCCGTGTTGGATCACATTTTTGAGTCCCTGCTGCTACATTTCTAATCCAGCTCCCAGCTGATGTGCCTGAGCAGGCAGTGGGCGATGGCCCGGAGGCTTGCAGCAGCTATAGCTGGGCCACACCCTAGCCAGGAGGCTGGAACTCTGTCCAGGTGCTCCAGAGAGGTGACAGAGGGCCAGGTACTCCAGCCACCCTCTGCTGCTTTGCCAGGCACATTGAGCAGGGAGCTGGATGGGAAGTGGAGCAGGCGGGACTGCAACCGATGCTCCTGTGGGGCATTGCACCACAATCCCAGCCCCTGGAACTTTCTTTACATATTTTAGATACAAGTTCTTAGTGTATAAATGGTTGATGAATTCCACGGCCCTTTATCCCCTCCTACCCCATCCCCCTTTGTCGGAACCCAGTTGGGAACAGTCTGCGTGTTCTCATCCGGGTTCTCTGCTGTTGTGATTTGTGTCCTCGTCACACAGGCCTGACTCCCCTGGCCGTGTGGAACATCTTGAAGTCTGACAGAGTCATTCCTGTCCCTTTGCTTTAGCTGTTGTACTTCCCCTGTACTTTGTATGGATATCAGGCTAAGCTTGTCAATGTATATAAAGAAAAGATTTTTTAAAAGAGGTTTATTATTTGTATTATTTGGAAGGCAGAGTGACAGAGAGAGAGAGATATTGCATCAGTTACTTCTCCCTGAGTGGCTGCAGAAGCTGGGACTGGGCCAGGCTTGGGCCAGGAGCCGGGAATGCCAGCTGGTCTCTTCCTTGGGTCACCTTGCACAGTAGCAGGAAGCTGACCCAGAAGCAGAGCTGTGACCAGCACTGCAGTGAGGCATGCGAGCATCGCGGACGGTGCCTTAGCAGGCTGCCCCGCAGCGCCTCCTCCCAGTGCTTGGTCTCAAGACACATGTGGCCCTGTTCTGGGGTTATAAAGATGCCCGCCTGGGTATCTCCACACTGCCAGTACGTGTATGTGAGCCAAGTGAGAGGGCTCTGCCTGGAGACAGTAGGCGCTCGGTGCACTCTGCAAGGGGATGATCTCCATTGTGGTCACTGTGCATTCATTACGGCACACGCAGTGAAGGTCTGATAGTTATTTTCTTACAGAGGATGGGATGTGCTGGTTCTTCCTGGGATATTATCAGTAAAATATTTGTGGAATATTGTGCTGATATGCAATTATCTCATATGAGAACAATAAGAAAATTATAGTTGGGCACAGCACAATGGGTCAACTGGCTAATCCTCCATGTACAAATGCCAGATCACATATGGGTACCAGTTCATGTCCCAGTTGCTCCACTTCTCTTTCAGCTCCCTGTTTGTGGTCTGGGAAAGCAGTAAAGGACAGCCCAAAGCCTTGGGACCCTGCACTCATGTGGGAAACTGGGAAGAAGCTCCTGACTCCTGGCTTTGGAGTTAGCTCAGTTCAGGCTGTTGTAGCCATTTGGGAAAATCTTTCTCTCTGTTTCTCCTTCTTTCTGTAAATCTGACTTTCCAGTAAAAATAAACAAATCTTAAAAAAAAAATTTACAGTTGCCATGTAACCTTGTGGCTTTGGAGGAAGGGAATGCGCGAGCAAAGTGTAGTGGTAAAGGACTGAGCAACTTAAATGGGGTCTTCATTTTTTTGGGACGGGCCTGGTAGTTTGGATGGTTGGTTTGTTTTTCTCACGTCTTTGCTTTTCCTGCAGTTTACCTTGTCCAAATGCATAGACGCCGTGATGGTGCTGGGAAACTCCCACCTGTTCATGAACCGCTCCAACAAGCTTGCCGTTATTGCGAGTCACATTCAGGAAAGGTGCGGCGGCCGGGGTGACTGCCCGCTGGTGACGGGAGAGATGTCTGTGCTTGTCCTTGCGTGCCATTCTGTGGTGGCGAAGGAGAGCTGCGGCTTAGCACGCAGCGTGTTTGTATCCGTAGAACCTGAGAATCTGCATTGGTCCACAGGGGGCAGAGCTGCGTAGCGGTACACGGAACTTCTTTTAATACAATTATTTATTTATTTATTGAAAGGCAAAGAGGGAGGGAGAGGCAGAGAGAGAGAGAAAGAAATTTTTTTTTTTTGATCATTTAAAGTATATCTTGATTTTTCAACGATACGATACTGTTTTACTGGATACTTTTGTTGTTTTGCATTTTTAAAAATATTTTTTGGAAAGATTTATTTTTATCAGAAAGGCAGAGTAACAGAGTGAGAAGGAGAGACAGAGATCTTTCATGCACTGATGAGCTCACAGGATGGCAGTTACCGCCGGAGCTGGGCTGGTCTGACCCAGAGCTGATCGCCAGGAGCTTCTCGGGCTCCATGGAGTAGCAGGGGCCCGAGCACCGGGCCCGCCTCCACTGCCTTCTCACGCGCGTTGACAGGGAGCTGGATTGCAAGTGGAGCAGCTAGGACTCCAATAAGTGCCTGTATGGAATGCTAGTTTAATTTGCATTAATATGGTTTGACTTACTACCCTACACTGGCCCCAGATTGGCTGATTGATTTTGAAAATTATTTATTTTTATTGGAAAGTCAGATTTACAGAGAAGGAGAAGCAGAAAGATCTTCCATTCACTGGTTCACTATCCAATCAATTGCAATGGCCAGAGCTGAGCTGATCCAAAGCCAGGAGCCAGGAGTCTCCTTCCAGTGTTCTGTGTGGGCACAGGGTCCTAAGGCTTTGGGCCCTTCTCCACTGCCTTCCCAGGCTACAAGCAGGGACCTGGATGGGAAATAGAGCATCTGGGACACAAACTGGCGTCCATGTGGGATCCTGGTGCATATGAGATAAGGATTTAGCCACTAGGCTACCACATTGGGCCCTCCTGGTTTATTTTTGAATGGTGTCGATAGTGAGCTCATGGTTAGAATTTGGTGTGGGGCCTGGCAAGATGGCTCAGTGGCTAAATCCTCATGTTGCAGACACCAGAATCCTATACGGGCACTGTTTTGTGTCCTGGCTGCTCCACTTCCCATCCAGCTCCCTGCTTGTGGCCTAGGAAAGCAGTCGAGAACGCCCCAAAACCTTGGGACCCTGCACCAGCATGGGAGGCTCCTGGCTCCTGGCTTCAGATTGGCTCAGCTCCAGCCACTGTGGCTATCTGAGCAATGAACCAGCAGATGGAAGATCTTTCTGTCTCTCTTGCTCTCTGTAAATCTGCCTTTCCAATAAAAATAAATAAGTCTTTAAAATAAAAATAAAAGAATTTGGTGTGAATGGTATACTCTGGACCATTTCAGGAAATTAACCTTGCACCATTTTTGCTTTAAAACATTCTGTGGAGGCAGACAAATGTTTGCCATTTCACTCATTCATTTTTCAAGACTAAAATGTATGGTAGTGTATCACAGGTGCACAGTTGGTGCCATCATCCTCCAGGCCACTCATGTAGATGATGGACTGTTAGCCCAGGGTTTAGCACATCTTTGGCAGACCTCCTGGCTCACCTGACATGCTGTGAGGGCTCTGTGTGTAGCACTTGCAGTTTAGAGATGTGTAAACCAGGACAGCAGTGTGTGTGTTCTGTTGGTGATTGAGTGACCCCATGGACGTGGGATGGGTGGGTGCGGAGGGTCACCACCCTCTGATCTGTGATCTCTACCACTTTGTGTCTGTGTGTGAGCAGGCCTGAGGTCCTAGGTGAGCAGCTCTCCCTGCCCTGTTTGTGTCTGCGTGTGAGCGGGCCTGAGGTCCTGGGTGAGCAGCTCTCCCTGCTCTGTTTGTGTCTGCGTGTGAGCAGGCCTGAGGTCCTGGGTGAGCAGCTCTCCCTGCCCTGTTTGTGTCTGCGTGTGAGCAGGCCTGAGGTCCTGGGTGAGCAGCTCTCCCTGCCCTGTTTGTGTCTGTGTGTGAGCAGGCCTGAGGTCCTGGGTGAGCAGCTCTCCCTGCCCTGTTTGTGTCTGTGTGTGAGCGGGCCTGAGGTCCTGGGTGAGCAGCTCTCCCTGCTCTCTTTCAGCCGGTTCCTGTATCCTGGGAAGAATGGTCGAGTTGGAGACTTCTTTGGAGACCCCAGCAATCCACCTGCTGAATTTAACCCTTCTGGAAGCAAAGATGGGAAATACGAACTGCTAACGGCAGCAAATGAAGTTATTGCAGAGGAGATTAAAGACCTGATGACCCAAAGTAACAACTGTTATGGTTTTGATAACCACAGTGATTCCTGCTGTGATCTTGCAGATGGGGCTGGCTTTGTTAGACCCTAGGCCCTCGGTGTGGCCCACTTGGTCCGCTCCGCTCCTCTCTCCCATCCCTCTGTCCTCTGGCTCTGTGACTTGCCTGCCCTCTGCGGCAGCCTCTGTTGGTGACTCCTGTCTCTCAGCCTGTCATGGCCTCCTGATCTCTCTAGGTACCTTTCTCGTGCCCAGCATCCAGAGTGCTGTGGAATCTCAGGAGGGTCTCCCGACTCTGACCCTAGCTGCCATGTACGTCGTTTTGACATGTGGGGCTGGATGGCACTTGTATGTGTGGCTCTTCTGTGTGGCAGTTACTCAGCGGCATCCCTGGCCTTGACCTGCTGGGTGCTCTGACATCCTGTAATAGTGAACACCCAGTGTGCCCTCACGTTCTGCCGAGCCACAACATTTCAGGGGAGACCCAACCCTACTTGTCATAGTCCCCTCCCCCCGCCCGCCTGCCCACTGGAGTCCTTCCAGGCTGTCCCCCAAGGTCGTATGGAGCTCAAAACTGCCGTCCTGGCTCCCAGGCCTTTTCTGCTTGGCCAGTGCCTGGAGGTGGAGATTTCTCAGCCAGTGCTGTGGAGTGAAGAACAGGGACCTGCAGCTCTGGCTTCACTGGGTCCTCCAAAGCTCTGGTCCTAGGGCATGCTCCTGTAGGGGTTCTAGAATCTTTCCAAGAGCATTGGCCTTGGCCCAGTGTGGTCCTCTCTGTGGTGACCAGGGTCTTTCCTGATTGCCGTTCTCAGGGGTTCCCAGTCACGGGCCAGTTGACTGCACAGGCTGTCCATCTTGGTGCCTTGGCCTCTTGAGCTGCAGCCTTAGGATTTCTCTTTTTATTTATCTCTTTTTTTCTTTCCTTTTCTTTTTCTTTCTTTTTTTTAATGTTATGTAAGAGGTCAAATTAGAGATCAGGAGACAGACATACCCATGCACACCAAGATCTTTTGTCTCCTAAATCATCACAGCCTGGCTCCAGAAGCTCCACCGAGGACTCCCCCTGGGTGGCAAGGGCCCATCTTGTGCCTTCCTAGGTGCTGTAGCAGAGAGCTGGTCTAGAAGTGGAGCAGCTGGAACATAGCCACACCCGGTGGGATGCTAATATTCTAGGGCCATGGCTTTACCTTTTTTTGTGTGTGTTATAAAATGCATGTAACAAAATTCACCATTGTAACCATTTCTAAGTTTACAGTTTTGTGGGTGACTGTGTCTTCAACAGCACCTTCCTTCTCAAACTAAAGCTTCATACCAAGCCAACAGCAGCCACACCCCCACTCCCGGCTCCTGACACACCACCAATTGCTTATTTAGTAATACTGAGTATAAGTTGCTGTATGTGTTTTAAAACCCCATTTGAACATGTCAGCACTTGATTTAATTCATAAAAATGCTTTTGTTTGAAAATGACTTTAGTGCAAGACAGTACTTACAAATCCCCTTTGTAACTTTTGTTGTTTGCAGGTGACCTGAAGGGGCAGCATACGGAGACCCTGCTGGCAGGATCCCTGGCCAAAGCCCTCTGCTGTATCCTGGTGCGCTCATTCCTTGGAGGGACAGAGCTTATCCACCCACTGGTTCACTCCCCAAAGTAGCTAGAGTGGTCAGGGCTGGGCCAGAGCAAGCCAGGAGCCTGGAACTCCATGGGAGTTTCCCAGACGGTGCAGGGGCCCAAGTACTTAGGCCATCTCACGAGCTTTCCCAGGCGCACTGGCGTTGGGAGAGCAGCCAGGACCTGAGCTGGTGCTCTCCTACGGTATATGATGCTTTCAAGTGGTGGCTTCATCCACTGCGCCACAGTGCTGGCCTGTGCACTTAACTCCGTCAGCTCGTAACTTGTTTCGATACGTGTGCTCATATTCACGCAGCCCTGAGCATTAGAGAACAGGAGAGAATAGATACCTTCATCTTGCCTTTGATGCCTTTGTGGATCAAGTGTGGAAACTTGACCTGGAGGAGGAGTGAGGCAGTGCAGTCTCCCCTTCAGGCCTCTTCCCACGGCCGAGGCTGCTGGAGGCTTGCATGGCCTTGTCCTTGTGGGTGGCTCGTGGCCGTTCTGGGAGCCGTGTTGGATTTTCCCAGCTGTTTACTCACTGTGAGCTGGTGGAGAAGTGGCTTGGAGCAGCAGCAGGTTGCTAAGCTGCCTGTGGGATGTTCTCTCGAGTTTTATGTGTGTCCATCTTAGATTTGAAGTCCAGTTGCCTGGTGGTTAGACCAAGCCAGGGCTGGCACATGGCGGGGAATGACAGGCCAAGCTGCTGTTGCAGATGAGGCCCAGCGGATGCCGGCATAGGAAGTGGGGGCCACACGAGGGCAGTGGGCGCATGTGGGCAGTAGAGCCTTACCTGTGTGCCAGGTGGCTGCTTTAACCAAAACCTGAGGGAATTTTTTTTTAACTGTTTGCATATATTTGTACAATGACACAACATTCTTGTATTCCTTAATACTTATGAAGATATTCACAGAATGAACAAGGAGGTGAAAGGTAGGAGTTTGTGTGTTTCTATGAGAACTGTAGTTCTTGTTCCATGACCGTGGGTTTGGGGCAATGTTTTAAAGTCAGTTAGAAACCATACATGTGTAAGACGGAAAATTATTAACATTCTGCTGAGAACAGCATGAAGCTATTCCTGTAACTTGTAGTGTGTTTTCTCTCTCCGCAGATAATCAGGACATGAAGTCCAGGATTCTGGTAAGATACCAAGGTTGAGCCTGTGCAGTTAGATCCGTAATTAGATGGTTGGAGCCCGTAATGGGAAATAAGGCCCATTAGAAAATCCGCCCCATCATAGAAGCAAGACAGTGCCGCGTGCCCAGAACTGGTTTAATAAGGCACGTACAAATGACCACATGAGAACTGGAAGTTGAAGGGAGCATTCCCTTTCGTTCCTGGCGCCCAGGTTTTAGAAAATCACCCTGGGATTCAGGGCCGCCTCAGACCGTCCAGGAGGCCGGGGTCTCCCCTCCCTGACCCACTGGAGGCTTCAAAAACCCTCAGTGTGTCTAGAAGAGTAAATCCAAGAGAATAGGCAGGAACGTTCTGGAAGTAAATGGCCGCTTACTCCGTGAGCTACAGATGTGGAGAGGGCCAGGGCCAGGACCTGGACCTGGACCTGGAATGTGTGGGAGAGTTGAACTGGTGATGGAGGGAGCTCCAAGTTGTGGGAAGGCTCTTGGTCAGCCCTGCTCGGGGATAGATCATCTCCCTGCTGACCCCCTGACTGTGAACTACCGGACTGAAAGCATCATCATCGGGTCAGCTTAGGAAGGGACACGCGTTGCTAAACAGGACAACTTTAAATGATGGGGTCCTACTCTGGAACAAATGTCAGTCCTGCAAGCCACGGATGACAGGAAAGGGGTTAGCAAAGTGTTTTCAGCGGAGCTGCCTGACAGCATGTGTGTGGACGTGAGTTCCGGGCAGGTGCTGTGATGAGCGCCTGAGATGGTGTGGTACCGTGTTGGATGCTGTGTAACTGGTGCCTGTGACAGCTGTTTCCTCTGACAGGGGGGCGTGTATGCCCACCTTCTCCTCCCAGTGCTGTCTGGGTGTGTGCGCACTGGACTGTTGTGTGTGGTGGGGTGCTGTTGCTCTGGTGGGCAGGCTCATTGCAGACACTCCTAGGTGTGGCTCCCGGGGCCGGGAGCCCTGGGAGAACTGGATGTGCCTGAGCAGACTGTGATTGCAGGTGATCAAGGCCGCAGAGGACAGCGCGCTGCAGTACATGAACCTCATGAATGTCATCTTCGCAGCACAGAAGCAGGTATGTGCGGCCTTCTGTGCCTGTTTGATAATGAGGGAACTGGTTCCGTTTCTGGAAGATTCTGCTCAGCAGTCAGGGGCACAGGAGTCCAGGATGCATCTTGTGTGTTTGCCTTGTTGCTGTGTGGATCCTGAGGCTCTTGAGGCCCCAGTTGGTCCCCAGGGCACGGGTGGCACAGGTCCATGGTGGGCTGGAGCCCCCGTTTGGCCCAGGAGCCCAGCTCTGAGGCTTTGCCGCAAGCACCGTGTCATATTTTCTCTCTGCTGTGGTAAAGTGTGTGAGGATGTGATGTATTGAGCCCACAAATGCCAAAAGTGCTTTTATGAATTATGATTCCTACATTTTCTTCTCTGATGTATTTTAAAAAGAAAAAAAAAAAAAAGAGTGTTGCTGTGGTCATGCATAGTACCCCCGGAGTTGGGCCTGTACAGTGCGAGCAGCATTAGTTTTGGGAACAGGCAGAGTGGGTGCAGCCTTTCCACCTGCTGGCTTTGTGACCACAGCCCAGCCAAAGCCTGGGTGCTTTTGATGACGTAACTGCCAGCAGTCACACACATTAGGTGACCTGTTTTAAGGATAGCCTGGCATGGGGCCAACATCATGGCACAGGGAGTGAAGCTGTCGCCTGCAGTGCTAACACCTCATATGGACGCTGCTTTGAGTCCTGGTTGCTCTACTGATTTCGTCCCCGTTGATGTGCCTGAGGAGGCAGTGGAGGCTGGCCCGGGGGATTGGGCCTCTGCTCCCATGAGCAGCGGTTACAGCCACTGGGAGTAAACTAGCAGGTGGAAGAGCTGTCTGTCTCTGCCTTACAAATAAATAGGTGCATCTTCAAAAAAAAAAATTATTTATTTTTATTGGAAAGTCAGAGTTATAGAGACAGAAACATCTTCCATCTGCTGGTTCACTCTCCCAAGTGGCCACAACAGCCAGAGCTGAGGCGATCCAATGCCAGGAGCTTCTTCCAGGTCTCCCACGAAGGTGCAAGGTCCCAAGGCTTTGGGCCGTCCTCGACTGCTTTCCCAGGCCACAAGCAGGGAGCTGGATGGGAAGTGGAGCACAAACCAGCACCCATATGGATCCTGGTGCATGCAAGGCAAGCACTGTAACCACTATGCTACTGTGCTGGGCCCAATAAATACATTGTTGGGGGAAAAAAAGGAAAAGATTTAAAAGTTGATTCTTTAAAAAAAAAAAAAGACAACAGCAAAGAACAGTGTGGCGCGTGGCAGACTCAGAGTGAGGACGTGTTTCCTGTGTTCTTCCTTCCAGAGCATTCTCATCGACGCCTGCGTTCTAGACACCGACTCGGGCCTGCTCCAACAGGTGTGTGTTGGATGATTGCTTGATTGGTTGTTGGGAAAGACAATTTTTGTATTAAATACATGTTAGCATGGCTTGGATATATCAAGTTGCAAAAGCGATATGTCATTAACTGGTTCCAGCTGCTTAATTTCCCCTTTTGATGTGACTGCTAGGAAGTCGTAAATTGTGCCCTTACGTTTACTTGTGTGGCGTTTCTGGTGCGCAGTGCTGTTAGATGTGCTTTTAATCAGAAGTTTAAAACCTAGTTTCACTTTAGCCAGACAGAAAGAAAAATAAGGCCGAAGAGATTTTACCATATTGCTAGGCGATTTTTGCCCACAGGAATATTATTTCCTAAAAGACCAGTTAAAAGCAAAAACAAAACAGAACTCTGGGGACTCCTCTGTGTAGGTTACTGCTGGCGGGGGGAGATGCCGACAGTGTGGCATTGCCTGGTGCTCGGCGTGGGGCGGGCCCTGTGCCGGCCAGGCTGTGCGCGCTGGCTTGTGCGTAGCCACTGGAGGCGGTTTCTCGGCTGCAGGGTGTGGGAGCGCCTGTCTGACCGTGTCCACGCTCCCTTCAACCCCCCGGCCTCTGAGTCCTCACTGTCCTGCCCTCTGACATGGTGTCCAGGCTTCAACTTCCATGGCTGCGTGGACACATGCAGCTCCTGGCTTTTCCGCCTGACGTCCTGTCCTCCAGGGTGGACGCTGTGCCCTCGCTCCCTCCGGGTCCGCCTTCCCTCTGCATCGGGTCTGCTCTCCTGCCCGAGGCATCACAGAGGGGCTCCCGTCCCCGGCGGGGCTGAGTGCTTCGCGTGTCTTGCAGGCTTGTGACATCACCGGGGGACTGTACCTGAAAGTGCCACAGATGCCCTCACTGCTGCAGTACCTCCTGGTGAGGATGCCACGGCCCTGCCACCTGGAGTAGAGTATTTGTGGGGAACACAGGGGAAGGCCTTGCGGAGGGTTCTGAGATGTGCTGTCCGGAGGGAAAACCTGGGGGCCTTGGAGGTTTGGAGCTGCAACGTGAGGGGTGACGACTCCGGCTGGGGACTGTGCGTGTACGGGAGGTCACATGCCTGCTGCCCACATGGTGCCCTGACGGACGGTGCTCCAAACTGGCCGGAAGAACAAAATGCGTTTCTCAGGAGACTTCAGCGGGAAGGCCTCATTCAGTGTCCCCTTAGTGTTGGTGGTACCTGTGTCCTGACTTCGCCGAATTTCCTGGCCAGTTAAAATAAAATGTGCTTTGCCTTTTTCCCCTCACAGTGGGTTTTTCTTCCGGATCAAGAGCAGAGGTCGCAGCTGATCCTGCCACCCCCCGTCCATGTGGACTACAGGGCCGCTTGCTTCTGTCATCGGAACCTCATCGAGATTGGCTATGTCTGCTCCGTGTGCCTGTCCAGTGAGTTTCTGCGCTGACGGGTTCTCCCGGGGCGGGGCAGAGGGCAGAGGGCACCTCTACTCCGTGGCTCCTAACGCACCCGCTTTCTGTTGGCAGTATTCTGCAGTTTCAGCCCCATCTGTACCACCTGCGAGTAAGTGTCGGTGGCGGCCGTGGGTCCGTGGGAGGGCCCTGGGGGAGCAGGGGGCCCGTGTGGGGGCCGTGGGGGCCGTGGGGTGCCTGCTTGGCTGATTTGGAGCCCTATGTCGTGCTTGCCCCTCTGTCATTCCAGAACAGCCTTCAAGATCTCTCTGCCTCCCATGCTGAAGGCCAAGAAGAAGAAGCTCAAGGTGTCTGCGTGATGGAGGCTTTCCTTGTGAGGCAGCAGCCGAGAGCTGGCGTGGCAGGGAGGGCGACCACAGCGTCGCTCCCCGCTGGTGCTTCGGGGGAGGAGGGCAGCTCCCCTGCTCTGCATCCCCACCTCCTCTGCTCAGCACGACCTCTGTCGTGTGTGTTTAGTGAGATGGCTGTCTCTGAGAGCCCACCCGCCCTGACTGACCCAGGTGGTGGACAGTGTGGGAGGGCTGACCACAGCTCTGGAACAGGCACCACTGACAGTGACTGCCAAACACAGGTATCACGAGTGGGGGTTCTGCTGTGACCCTGGCCGACACTGCTCTCCGTGTAGTTGGCCCTGATTGACCCAAGCCGTCAGCAGCGTGTCGCTGAGTCGCTGTGGACTGTGGATTCAGGTTGCCCAGGAGAACCAGTGCAGGAAGCCAGTAGCAGACCTTCCTCGCAGAAAGCTGGTGAAGACACGCCAGGATTCTGGGGGAAAGTGGACACCTGCGTGTTGGAGAACTCTTCTGTAGAAGCTTTGGGCTTAGTATTGAAAAGTTTATGTAAAATAAAAATTGTGATTTTAACAATAAAAATTATTTTACTATTTAACAATTTTCTCTGTCCTCTTAAGAGGTCCATCATACGTTGGGGAAGATTTAAGGAAAAGTGGATGATCAAGTATTTTGAAAATATGACAGAAACTCACTTGTTGAAAGCTTTTGAATGTATATGTTTAAATTTTCTTTGTATGCCGGTGTAGAAGCTGAGTCTTACTTAAGGAAAGTGGGGTTTGGTAAGGTAACTTAGTGATGATTTTTTTGCATTTATTAAGCTTGATAGTGTATCTTTTATTTTAAAGATTTATTTATTTTTACTGGAAGGCAGATTTACAGAGAGGATAGAAAAGAGAAAGATCTTCCATCTGCTGGTTCACTCTCCAAGTGACTGCAATGGCTGGAGCTGAGCCGGTCTGAAGCCAGGAGCCAGGAGCCTCTTCGGGTTCTCCCAGGCAGATGCAGGGTGCCAAAGCTTTCGGCCGCCCTCTACTGCTTTCCCAGTCGACAAGCAGCGAGCTGGATGGGAAGCTGAGCGGCTGGGTCATGAACTGGTGCCCACACGGGAGAGGCAGAAACCGAGGGCTCAGTCAACTGATTCACTTCCCAAAAGTGCAATCTCAGGAACTGGGCTGGGGCCTAGAGTCTGGGGGTTCTTCCAGGTCTCCCACGTGGGTACAGGGGTGCGAGTACTTGGGCCGTCCTCTGCCACTTTCTCAGGAACATCAGCAGTGAGCTGGATGGGAAGTGGGGCAGCTGGGACTTGAACCAGCATCCAAGTGTGGATGCCAGCATCACAGGCAGTGACCACAGCTCCCAGCCCTTCCTGTGTGTCCTGTTTGCGATCGCCTGATGGCTGTGCCAAGCTTCTGCCTGGTGCCTGCTTCTGCACCTGACCTCTCATGCCTTCATCACCCCGAGGAAAATGTCCCAGGCCGCTGTAGCTCTGGCCTGAGGAGACCCAGGGTGGATGCCTGCCCCCTGAGCCCAGCGTCCTGCAGACCAGCGCGTGCATGGGCAAGTTTCTGTTGTGCAAACTACTAACTAAATGGGGTCTTCTTGATGTAAAATTGACTTTGTGAATGACATCCTACAGATGAAGTGAGATTATGGATGGTGTCATCAGGCCATTTGCTCAGTGGCTAAATCCTTTCCTTGCATGCGCTGGGATCCATATGGGTGCCAGTCCATGTCCCAGCTGCCCTGCTTCCCGTCCAGCTCCTTGACTGCTGGGTCGGTGACTGTATCCGCGTTTGTTTGCCTTGGACACAGTTCCAGATATTTTAAAATGGCTCCTCGTTCATCAGCAAACCGGTATTCCCACTTGTCGGTTCAGAAGCTCCTGGCTTTGGGCTGGCTCAGTCCTACCTGTCACGGCCATCTTCTGTCTCTTCTGTCTTGCAAATCTGCCGTTTAAGTAAAAATAAATATATATTTTTAAGTTATGTGTATCTTGAAATGGATGTATAATTCATGAGACGCACTTTCTGCTACCGGTCACTTCCGGTAGCCCTCGCACGACCCTGCAGAGAGAAACCCCTCCTCCCTTGTTTGACAGGTGAGAAGGGAAACAGCAGCCCGGCTCGCCACACCTCCCGGGCAGGCGGGGCGACCTTCTTCCCAAGAGGCCTTGGTGGGCGGTCTGTGTGTCCCGCTGGTCCAATCAGAGCGCGCCGCTCCTCAGCCGGCCTTCGATTGGTGGTTGCCATAGCTCCTGGCGTTCGCTTGACAAGATGGCGGCAGCCTGTGGACCGTGATGTCTCCCCTGCTTGTAGGGCCCGCGCGGTTTAATTGGATCGCAAGGCGCAGGTCATGGGCTTGCCGCCCACTGTCCTCCTGGGGCTCCTCGTTCTTCACGGCGCACTGAGGCCGCTGCAGGGGGACGTGGGTGTGTCCGGCGGGGCGAAGGTTGAGGAGCCGGGGTTGGGGTCCCGGGAGCCTGCGTGCCTTGGGCTGATGACCCTGTCTTTTTCTTCTCCTCCAGTTTTCATCCCGTCTTTCATCCGAATGTCCAGCCTCGCGGTCAGCGCGTCTCTGGTCGGAGGCCCCGAGGATGTGGCGGTGACCCTGGCTGTGTTGCAAGCAGACTCAGGTAAAGAGTCCTCGGCGAGGTGGGACGGTGGGGAATGTGGGAGAGGCTGGGGACAGCTGGAGGATGCCCTCTGTCTCCTAGGACGGCTGCCCCGTCCGGCCTGCGGAGAGCCGCTCAGCAATGAGACGCAGGACTGGAGTCTGACGACCGTTCCGGGTGTGGTAAGGCCACCCTGCAGCAGCTGCTAGACACCCCTCCAGGCTAGCGACCCTGGGAAGCCCGTGAGGGGCCCTTCCTGAGGACAGGGTCCACAGCTTCCTCCTGGTGTTCTCAACAAGGTGCAGGCCCACCGGCTGGGCTCAGCCAAGCCCACCTGGGAGCCAGATCACCCAAGTCAAGTTCAGTCATCTCTGACAATCTGTGTCTGACTCAGCAGTGGGAATCAGGGTTTGCATGGGATGGAGCTTTTGGGGCAGGTGACTAGCGCTTGGGGCTCCTTCTCTGGGTGTCCATCCCTGTCTCCACTAGCCCTTCTGTATCTCTCTTTCAGCATGCGGTAGAGGTGACGGTCCGCTGGAGGGGGGACCGGCCACCATGTCCCCCCAACGAGACTATGCCCTTCTTGGCGCCCCCCTGCATTGTCCAGACCCTCTTGGTCTCCGCATCTCACAATATGTCCTGCCTGGCACACCTGCTCATCCAAGTGGAGATTTATGCCAACTCTTCTGAGACCTGGAACGCCTCAGGCAAGTGGTGCCCTGGGCCCAGAGCCGACCTGCTGCCTGTCCCTCGTGGGGCGGTGGCACCGTGGGCTTCAGGGGCCGACCTGCTGCCTGTCCCTCGTGGGGCGGTGGCACCATGGCCCCAGGGGCCGGCCTGCTGCCTGTCCCTTGTTGGGAGGTGGCACCATGGCCCCAGGGGCTGGCCTGCTGCCTGTCCCTCATGGGATGGTGGCACCATAGGCCCCAGGGGCTGGCCTGCTGCCTGTCCCTCATCGGGCTGTGGCATCCAGCTTGTATGCTGCTCCTGTGTTTTCTTATGTAAAAGGCTTTCCTGTCAACTGTTGAGGTTTTTATTATTCTTTTTTAAGATTTATTTATTTTTATTTGCAAAGGTAGATTTAGGGAGAGAAGGAGAGACAGAGAAAGATCTTCCATTGGCTGGTTCACTCTCCAAGTGGCCCCAATGGCCAGAGCTGAGCTGATCTGAAGCAAGGAACCTCCTATGGGTCTCTCACACGGGCGCAGAGTCCCAAGGCTTTGGACCGTCCTCCACCGCTTTCCCAGGCCACAGGCAGGGAGCTGGATGGGAGGTGGAACAGTCAGGACATGAACTGGTACCCACGTGGGATGCTGGTATTTGCAGGTGGAAGATTAGCGGTTGAATCAACATGTCAACCCCACAGCTTCAGTTTTATCAGCTAAAAAAAAGCAGTGAGTTGGAACAAAGAAATCCTTGATATTATCAGACTGTGTTGTGAAAAGGGATGTTTCGTTCGGCAGTGCATTTACCTGAACTTATAACTTTTACTCAACTGATGTGCAAGGTGCCCTGGGACTTGTCGGGCCCATGTTAACTGGCGTGTCCTCTTGGATTTGGACTGCTGTTGGAGCCCTGGCCCTGGGGCACGTGCAGGCCTCAGATGTACTGCATGTGCAGGACACGTCTTCCTGTTCCGTGTCAAGGACCTGAGGATGCTTTGTCAGCGTTTCGGGGCTGACCTCTTCCGTGTATGTGCTTTGCAGAGAACGTGACTGTCATTCCCAACCAGGCGTACCAGCCCCTGGGTCCTTGTCCTTGTAACCTGATGGCCGGGGCCTGTGACGTCCGCTGCTGCTGTGACCCGGTAGGTTCCTCGCCGAGACGCGCAGTGCCCACTCCTGTCCATGGCTGTTGAACAGAGGCTCTTCCAGCTCGTGCTGTATTCTGTGCTGCAGCTTGCTTTCCAATGGAGTGACTGTGTGCTTGCTTATCTGGTGGTGTCAGTCTTATTTACAGAAGGAAAAAAAAAAGCAACCGAATCTCCTGGGGCAAAACCATGATTGTGGAGCTGGTGCCTGAGAAGGGGGTGAGAGTGTTTAGTTTAGAAGACTTTAAGAAATCAGCAGAAGGAGCTAGGCTGCTTTGGTGGGCTTTTAGAATGGTGCAGCCGTCCCCACTGTCTAATTGTACAATGCCTCCGCCACCCCGGAAGAGCTCAGGTCCATTTCCAGCCCCACCAGGCCCGCCGGTTGGTACCCACTGTCTCCACCTCGCATCGGTGCACTCCTACAGTGCCTGCGCTTCCGTATCTGGGTCTGTTCCCATGGCATCCCATCTCCAAGTCCTGCCTGCGAGTGTCCATGCCTCCTCCCTCTTCCCAGCCTGAGTGTCCTCCACCCTGCCGCTGGGGCACTGGCTCTTACTAGCGTCATGTGCAGCCATTGTGAGTGGTGCTGCCGGGAACTCGGTGGGCAGTGCTGGTGTGGACGTCTGCTTCCGTTTCTCTGGGGTGTAGACCCAGGGAGGAAGCCACTGGGTCCCCTGGTGACTGTACCTTCATTTTATTGTTTGAAAGGTGGATTTTTACACAGAGGGAGAGCTAGAGAGATAGATCTTCCACCCACTGGTTCACTCCCCAAATGTCTGCAATGGCCGGAGCTGAGCTGATCCAAAGCCAGGAGCAGGAGCCTCCTCTAGGCCTCCCACATAGCTCTAAGGGTCCCAAGGCTTTGGGCTGTCCTCTGCTGCTTTCCCAGGCTACAAACAGGGAACTGGATGAGAGCTGGAGCAGTTGGGACATGAACTGACATCCATGTGGGATCCTGGCAAGTAAAAGGTGAGGATTTAGCCACTGAGCCATCACACCAGGATGTTTACATTTGATTTGTACATCCTTTTGTGATAAGGGCATTTAACCCCGTATCAGATCTGTCTGCTTAGCAGTTTTTTTCTATGTGCTGCCCTGGTTGGTCTCACAGAGTAGAGATGGAGGCTGCAGGTCTGG